AGACCAAGATACACCTGTTTGTCGCCAAAGTACGGTGGAGTGTATGCAGGATGGTTGACAAAGTAAGCAACAAATGCAGCGAATCCCCAATAATACGAACAATTCTGTAATTGAACTGTTGTAAACTCAAGGTCAATTGACAAGAGTTTTATGTTTACTTAGTGATAGCCGTATTTTGAACAATGAACACATTAGCATGACAATTTCAAAGACAGGTTTCCCCCTGGGACCCCGCAAAAACCAACCCATCACATAGCAGACGGGACTGGTGGCCAAAGGAAGGACAAGGGAGTCAATCTGACTGATACAAACGAGCGAGCAATAATTTTGAATCAGCTGATTCACATGTTGCTGCAAGGAGGGCGCAGTTCGGCTTGGTGGGGGGCACCAAATGATACTTAGCGAAGCTTCCACAGATCATCCTGTAAAGTCCTGTAATCTGTGGTCAGCGTAGGCTCCCTTGTAACACTCTTCAGCTTCACAAGAGTCTACAAGTCTCTTTGAGTCGACCTGCTAGTTAACATGAACTGGCAAAATGAACTAGAGAAGCAGAATGCCCTCCTACCCCTCCCAAGCAAAACAGCGCCTGAATAGAAAATAAACAGACCTTTACAAGATTGAATCGCGGCATGGTTCCATTACTGAAGCGATGAATGAACTGTGTTTCGAATAGACGCTTCGCATAATGGATCGACCAACAGATAAACGCATACGTCACAGAAAAATGGTAGGGTTCCTTTGATGCACCTAAATGAACACGACCTTATTTTGGTGACATGGTGAATACAAAAAAAGAACAAAATTTCCAACTGCAAGTCGCCTTTCAAAAATGAAACCGCGCTACTTATTCTTCTCTGGTATTCGAAATTCAGGCTACATTTTCATCAAATTTTCCCCCTGGGTACGAATTTGGCAAGAGTTTTTCCCCAGGAGTTCTGACCGCTGTAGACCGATATCACCTCCACGTGAAGCGCAAATGTTTGGCACGCGCATTATAGGACCGTTTTGGGGTTAGCACATGTGCAAGAGGTTTCGCGCCCAGCAGATGTGATAGTCGCAGGCAGGTGGAGGGGAGGGGTGGTCTATTTAGTCTTACGAAAAAGTTTTTGATGCCTTGAAGCACACACCATCAAAAGTAAGGCGCCAGGCAGAGTCGAGCCGAGCGGTAAGATATTCGCATCCAGTCAAAATGAGTTTTCCAGAGGAGAAATGCTAGCGCATTCACACTTCCACGGGGGCTCGCGAAATTTCTTCCTCAAAACTGGACTAAGTGATCAGCGCTGCAAAAAAACGTGGAAATTCTGCTAAAAGCTGGTACCTTCACCATAAATGAAAGCTGGGCGGAAGTAGAACAATGGATAAATGAAGAGTGGACCAGCATACTCGAGTAGAAATACCTAAAACAAAGAGAACGCTTAAACGAGTCGAAAAAACTCTAAATGTCACGAGTTCTATAGGAATACTTAATCCTTGTGGTACATTCGAGTGTACTGCAATATTATCAGTAATGACTACTAAGCTGTCAACCTCGTGTCGCTCTCTTGTGGCAGTGCACCGATCGGCGGTGGAGCGCGCCGCCCCCCCCCCCCCCCCCGGCCGTGGTCGCATGAATGTCGCGAGATATGAACGCAGCACAATGCTTCACCATTTCACGCTCTTCGTTGTTTTCTTGGACTCTTGTGGAACGACAGTCCTCAAGCTTTTATGTGTGGTTGCATCCCCTGAGCCCTTACCCAGGTCCGCAAAAAAAATCCATAAAGTCGAATATGTAAAAATCAATACTAGTAAAACAATAAACTATGGAAATACGAGGTTTCCTTCACAACCAGCCGATTATGAGAAAATTGTTATTGATCTGGAAGAACCGGCTTTGCCCATGAGCCAAAACACATGAATTGCTGCAAACACTCAAGAGTGGGCACGGAAGAAAGGAACACTTTAGTATATAAGGTGCGTCTGGAAAATTCTGCAGTGTTTGTGTTACTATTTTCTTGCACATTCATTGCTATAATTGAAAACTTCATTCTTCCTGCGCCATCAGTAGAACTGACATCCTTTGAGAGAGAATTCTTTCGCGCTATCTGATGTTTTAACTGACGTTTCACCACTTGCTTGATGAGCCCCTTTTTTTAAGATTTTTTCAAGCATGTGAAAAGAGCACTTCGGACGATTTTTTCTTCGACTATAAATTGGGCAATCCGCAATCGAAACAGCAAAAATTAACCAGGTGTGGGGGCCCAATAGTGCTAGAGAAAGCACTGTGCGGCAATGGCTCAACAAATTTCGTTCTGGAGATTTCAACCTTGAAGATGAACCTCATAGCGGTCGACCCTATAAGCAATATCTGACGAGGATTTTAAAGGGATTTTGAAGGCTGACCCATCCCAAACAGTTCGAGAGATTGCAGAAAAGCTAGGCCTTGGCAAATCCACTGTTGCAGATGGGAACGCATTGGGAAGGTGAAAAAACTCGACAATTGGGTGCCCCACAATCGGAGTGACCGGCAGGAATCGGCACGTCTCGAGGTTCCTTCTGCATTGCTTTTGCGCAGCAGAAACGACCTGTTTTTGGGCCGAATTGTCACCTGTGATGAAAAATGGGTCATGTATGATAACAGGAGACGTTCCGGACAGTGGTTGGATTTCGACGAACCACCGAAAGCCGAACCCTCACGAAAAAAAGATTCTGGTCACGGCTTGGTGGTCATCGGCTGGTGTGATCCACTATAACTTTTTATCACCAGGCCAAACCATCACAGCAGAACCCTACTGTGAAGGAATCGACGAAATGTACCGAAAATTTTGTCAGCTGCAGCCAACACTTATCAAAAGAAAGGGTCCGATTCTTTTGCATGACAACGCCCGCCCACATGTTTCACAAATCACTATCCATAAATTGAACGAATTGGGGTTGAAGTTCTACCACACCCACCATATTCTCCAGACCTTTCACCAACCGACTATCACCTTTTCAAACATTTTCAGAACTTCCTTGCTGAAAAATACTTCATCAATTAGGACCAGGCAAAAAAGACCTTCGTAGATTTCGTGGATTCTCGACCACCCAGTTTTTTCTTTAATGGGATTTCTCGACTGCTGTCACATTGGCAAAAGTGTGCTGATTCGAATGGTGCTTATTTGGATTAAATCCGATGAGTGTTAAGAAAGTTATGATCGTTTAAAGTGAAACACTCGAAACCTGCAGAACTTTCCGGACAACCTAATACTTACAGCGATCCGAATTTCTTGGCTTGCCGAGATCCCTTAATATCGATTGGCTGTCAACAACATCTCGTTTCCCTTTCTTGACTGATTCAGTTAGTACGGATGGTTTTTGTACATTTGTTCAGTGCGGATATTGGAACGCGGGTTTGGCGCGACGCCAGCCCATTCTCCACCAACTGTTGAAGTGAGCAAGCAACAACAAGACAAAGATGGTGGAAAACGGGATGGTGCCGCGCCAAACCAAGCCTCCCTAGAATTTCAAAGAGTGGAAGGGCTTAGGGGCCCCAGAAAGGCTGACACATGAAGGCTTGAATATGAAGTTTTGTTGCAACGAAAACAGGAAGAAATCAGATGCACAATGGAGCTCTGTATTCTTATCCTGCTTTTCGTTGTCTTTATACTAGTCACATAATAGCATTTTGGGGGAAGTAAGTCAGGTTTCAATTCAGCACGCATAGTAATGACCACAAAAAATAAAGGATTATGGTGAGTGGTTTATAACTATATGAGGAAATTATGGGCTATTGTTCCTGAAAAGTATAAAAAAATTAAATGGCAGATGGCTGAACAGGCGTACCGTCTTCCAGGGGACTTGTGGCCCGAGATCTCTGACAAAGAGTTGCGCATTTTGAGCGGCCAAACCGAGTTCACTGATTCGTTTCTCGTCGGCGACTGCTTTACCTTTTGGTTCAACACGCAAAGACTGCCGTTCGACGGTCAACGCGAGTTCTAAAAACGTCTTCTCCAAACAACATCATGTAAACACAATTTCAGGCAATAAAAACCAACTGATAATGAATGATAAGAGCCACCAATGAGCTACCAAATGCTAAAAACAAACTTTTCTGAGCTATTCTCTTCTTGATAGCCAGTACAGTCTCATCTCCAGTCAGATTATCAAGAGTGATGATTGAACGAGTTGGCTCTTTTGCATCGAACACCTCAAGATTGAAGCCACCCATGGTCACCTTAAACAAATCGATTCTTAAATTATACAACAAAACACCTTTGGAAACGAATGAATCACGCCACATTCACATAAACATGCACGAAGTGAAAGTGGATAAACAAAGCAAGCAAGCAAACACCATCCGAGCCGGTTTTCTCACGGGCGGTCGTCGGTCGACGTGAAATTGCGTAGCGCTTACGCAGCATAGTGACGGAAAATTGCACAACGTCTCCGAGAGACTTTTGAATGCTAAATAGGGAGGCGGTCGTTTGGCGCGATTTCATTGCCGTTTACGTGTTCTGACAAGTACATGCCTACCGGATAACTTGTTTGAATCACTGAACTATGGTTTGCGTAATTTGTAGCCTATAAAAACCCTCCTGTTTTTGGTGATAGCGTTATTATTCAAAACAGTAAGTTTTCTTCGGTCGCCTCTATTCCTAGACCCGTCCGCACGGCGCGTGTCGCGCGCGCGCGCTGCCTTTGGCATGTTGCCATTCGTGGTTTTGTGCGTCCACGACAGAGATTGCGAGCAGGAGACGAGGACGCGAAGTTGAAATTGAGTAGAAATGACTCGACTGTATAGTTACAGCTTGTGAGAATGCTAGGGAATGAAATGTTAAGGTTGGAAGTAGTGGCCACCAATGTAGTTTAACGGTTTTCACAGGCTTATAAAGCTTTCACATTTTGAATATAAAGAAGCGCAACAAAAATGAAGAATGGGCATCGAAAAGCATTGGAATGATTCGGATACGCAAAAAAACACAGCGTGAAGTGGATGGCAACTTTCTTCGAAAGTTCTGTGAGCGGTCTTGCTTCTGAACATCCATTACATCATAATCACTCGATAAGAAGGACATGTTCTTTGCGAGACATCCTAATTTCGGTCAGCTATTTGACTAACTGGGACATCACGCTCAATCTTTGAAACTCACTGATTCCCTCGAGAAAGTCTCAGCTAATGTGAGTTCAAGGCCAATAAACCGCACGACCTCACCCAAAACACTATCTGAATGTTCAAATTAATAGAACCAACGACTTCCAGTGGTTGTCAAAGTAGATGAATTTGGCAAAACCCATCATATTGGTGAAAATCGTCTCCCTGAATTGCATAGCACTTCGACAGAATGGCTTGATGAGACAGGTACCCTTAGGACGATCAAACGGTCATCCATGGTCGTGTTCGCTTTCTCTAGTGAGCGTACTTCAAGAAAACAAGTTAGGATTTCGGCCATCCTTGGCAACCGCTGGTGTAGGTTGCTCCTTATCGATATTGTGGTGCCCAGGGTTTTTATTTCAGTCATCCAATTTCGAATCAAAGTTGGTCATTTTGTCCATGATGGGGATTTCTAGGAACATATTACAGGAGAAGAGCAGGTACCTTACTCTGATCTCCTATCGATGAATTCGCACTTGTAGGACGTATTAGGCTTCATGGACTACCCTATCAACAGCTATACTCCGCATCAGTGAGATTGCTTCTCAATAGCGCCCATCACCAGGTGAAACCGGCAGGAGTTGTAAAGGCGTGGCCGGCGCGCGATTACGCGCCGTGCGACGGTCTAGGAATAGAGGCGACCGTATTCTTCCATGATTACTCGGGGATATACGCAGTTCGGGGTTATGGCGCGAGTTGTTTCCCTTAGAAGTCAGTATTGCCTAACATGGTGCTTTCGTGTAGGTACAAAAGATCGCGCCAAACGACACACCCCTAAATAACGCTTACTTTCGCATAGTCATGAACCATGAACTACTAAGCCGCTGTATTTCAACGGGTGCTATTGGGCCAAACAACTTTCTAAATGCACTAGTCACAAGTGTTGACATAAGTTTGAAATTCCATAGAACAAGACTAAAAAAGGGTTATACTGCACGTCGAAATGAGGGGCTCATACAATAGGTGGTTTCTTTACAGCTTCCTCATTGAAATAAAAGTATGGTTTGGCATCAACTTACAAGGGGAGCGTCGTCAGGGCGTGTTCGTGCGCTTTTTTCGAAACGGTTTTTCTGCATATTGTATGGGGCTCATGGGTGCAAGCGACCTGAAAGTGCTGCTTCATTTTCGCCACTTGCGCTGCTTCACGAAAGGTAAAAAACGACCTGTGAAAGAAATCTCAGGAATCTGCTTTCCGTTTTGGGCCTCTATACGGCGTAGGTCACTTGCAACTTTGACCAGTAGCTGAGTGGGGGGTCCTTATAAAGGGGCTATTTGAATCGAAGCGAAAAGTCGCCGCAAGTGAGCTTCCAACTTGGGTCACGTGCTCAGGGGTGAACGGCTCCTTGCTATGGTTTCATCAACGATAACAGCGGTGCGCACAGTCGAGCAACGGATGGCCTAGTGGATAGAGTGGAGGTTTCGCAGTCGGACAGTGGGGGTGGGGTTGATGGTTCGGCTCCTTGCGTCGCGGCTTTTTGCATTTTTTTGATTTCGCTGTTCTAGCTTCCATTTGTGTCTGCGCATGAATACAACTCGGATATTTGCCATTTATGGGCACATTCCGAGTAGTTTCACCTCATGAGTCAGTGCTATTCAACTATTTCGATTTTCACGCACCACTGAACAAGATTGTTGCTGGACGTTGATCCTCATAGGCTATACAGTGGACCTGATTGCGAAATTAGTAACTTCTGGTGTGGTGTCAACTATAGAAAATTTGGGGCCACTTCTTCTTTCCAGTGAATTCGTTATGTACACCCATGTAGGGAACGTTCAGCGCTATTCTGTCGCCAAATTGCGTGGACGCCAAGAATAGGTGTTATATTTGTGATCAGGGGCCACTGATTACCACTAAAAGCGAATTTTCGATCAAAACAATTGTTTCGTCCTTCTTGGGTCTGCTTATTGGGTTGTTCGGGGTCCGCATACGATACGATACGTGATCGCTGTTACGAAGATGTGAGACTCCGCTCACACTGCCGACCAAATGGTCAACCTACAACCCGAAAAAGTCAAAAAAAATTTTCGCTCAAAACTTGCTTCCTAGGGGTAATCGACAGTCCTGATCACGATTCTAAACTTTATTTTCGGTTCCAGTGCCATCTGGCACCGGCAAGAACTGAATCTGTGCATAATAACGAACTCGAAGGAAAAAGCAGTTTTGCTCCATAAAAGTAGGATTGTTCAGTTTATCGTGAATGTTTTTGTTAGGACCAATTATTTATACAAACATGGATCCAAAAAATGAAAAACTGTAGAAAAGCAAAATTTTGTCCTCGGTGGGATCCGAACCATCGACCTATTTTTTACGTTTTTTTAATTCGTAGAAGCGCGCAGCGAAAATGAACCTCAGTTTTGTGGTCCTCGTATGTACCCCTACAATATGCACAACACCATTTTGAAAAAGCTCACCACGCCCTGAACGACCTCCCTTGTTAGTGGTCTTCGGCGTCCCCCATACCCCTCTCCGCCAGCCCACCCCAAACTGCGACGCGCCGCCTCAGGCATGGGGCAAAATTCAGCCATTGTAATTTCGAAACTTTCGGCCTCAGGTCAAAAGACTTCCTTCTATGGAAACCTTTTTTTGGTTGGCATGGAAAGCTCGGTCTTATTCGGGCCATACTTATATCAAAGCTAGAGCTTTTTAGCGTGATCATGTTAGGAAGCTTCCTGTTCCTGCTTCCGAAGCCGTATGATCGTGGTTTTCTCACTCTAGAACTTCTCATTTATATTCAGAACCCAACATGTATGAGTACAATCAAATCAGCAGTTAAAAGAGCCCACTGAAGAGTCCCTTACCCGGGTATGTGACAAGAGAATCGTAATTCGCCGCGCCAGTGGGCGTCGCGTGCGACGTCGCGCCCGCCAATGACGACGATTCTAGATGTATTGGTCAAGAATAGACAATGTATGACCAAAAACAGCCATAAAACGATATCCCAGGCTACATGAAATCCGATGCTCCAGTCGGAGTGGTAATGCAAGTTAAGGAAACGTCGCGCCCATCGCCGCGTGCGACGAAGCGGCAGATTACGATTCTCTTGCCCGTCTCCCCCCTTCCCCACACCTCCAGAGGTAGAAGAGCTGGGTTGACCAGAGTATTGGGGCCTTGCCATGAGCGCCATATGGCCCCTTAAGAACCATGAAATTTCAGCAGGATATCATCGTTAAATGCAGATTATGATGAGAATATGTGACTGGAAGAATAGGCAGAAATTTTAGTATTCGCTCTATTGATGGCGCGTTGAGAGGGCGAGTAAGACCACAACCGTAGACTGATAAGAGCGTCTCTCCACCATGCAAAAGCGTCAGCTGTCGTGGCATGATCTGCGTTATCACTAGGGAACATGTGTAAAGTTCAGCATTGCAAAATCACAGAACACTGGCCACAAAACGAGACTATTTTTAGCCCTGGAGATGGATTGCACAAAGCCTGCGAATTATGGAGTTCTTATGCAAATGTACGTTCAGATACGGTCCATAACACGGTGAACTAAGAGGCGTGTCAGGGGCATAGGTAGAATCCCAGCGGCACGTCACCGCGTTTACTACTAGTTGTCGGTCTGAACTGGCAGCTATTAGTGGGAAACGCGGCCGTCGTTTGGCTACAATCTATCCCCCCCCCCCCGACATGCCCCATCAGTCGCCCTGTTGTGGACTGTACTTCGCGCTAATGATGACACTGGTCCCAAGGTAAAGCACATCACCGCTAGCCCCTCCCCCCACCCTCCGAGAAGGCTGTTTAAGCTATATTTCAGTTTCGGAAAAGGAAGGAGGAGGTGGCTGATTGCTGATTCTTTTCCTTATCAGCAGTGTCGGCCGATCTTTGGACGGTGCCATGCTCCGTTCCATGCTGAACTGATAGGCATTAATTCTGCAAGTTAATTACACTCTGTATCCCAGAGATGGGGAAGGTGCGCCTGGTAGCGCACTCGAACGCGGCGGCGGTTGCACTTTTGGTAGGATAGTGCATGCCAAAAACGCAACAGCCGACGCCTGTCCGCCAGCAGTGCGTTACGCCCAGGGCACATCATCCCGTTGTGATAAATACCTGCAGAATACGACCCCCTAATTCC